GTAAGTACTGTTGGCAGATTACGTGGTTTATAAATATTGTATGTGCAGGGAATGGGGGACATTGTTAGCCTGTTTTTCCAAAAAGAAATAATTTAATGTACTTAGGCAGTTAAATGTTATTTCACCCACTCCATATGATACAAAAGCTTTCTGGAAAAGAAATAAGTAGAAGAGGAAAAATATTGATAGTGGTTAATAAGTGATGGTTGGCTTTGGCTGCTATAGGCCTATATAGGGCAAGTGCTATAAAACATTCAGCAGTCTGCTTCATTGTTCTGTCCTGTCCTGTCCTGTAAAGGGGTTGGAGGGATGCAGGGATGGTACTGGGCACAGGAGGTCAGAAAGCATAAGGTGGGGCCAGAGAAATGAAAAGAGAACAAAGAGGTAAAAAAAGACTCTGTTCCTAGGAAATATACACGCTCTCCCTCTTCTGTGGGATGATCTGGGTACCATGTACGTCCTTGTGTATTCAGAATGATCCCTGGGGTCCCATTGCTGTCACATTTCTGCACAGTCCTCAGACACAGAGAAAAGTGTTGGAGGTTGTTAGCACATCTCCCTCTGGAGATGAAACTGGGCTCAACACCAACAGGAGAACACCAGAGGGGATTTGTCTCTCCTCCACGCTTGGATAATGGCTATTCCCTAATGCCCAGGGAAGAATTAAGTTCAGTATGTGCCTTGCACTATATTACACACTCAATCCTGAACAGCTGGGCTGTTAATGCAATTTAAAAAGAAGAGAGAACTCGCTATTCACCATCTATATCTAATGTATTCATAATAAATCTCTCAATGAGGAGGTATAAAAATTTCCTGTTGCTGTACAGCCAAAGGAAGCAGAGCATTAGGCAGGTATCCAGGGAGCCTCATTAACAGAGATAACCAATGTGGAAAATCCAGGGGGACTTGTTCCACATTTCTATTAGTAATGGCAATTTTTCTTACCTGAAATATGCTGGTAATTTTCTCACTTGCAAAATTCAATTTGCCTAAGGATGAATAAATAGGTCTTTTCTTAATACTTACTGGATAGTCTCTGTGTTCCAGATGCTACATAAAAGTAAAGCATTATTTGTCATTTTTTTTTCCTTTTTCACTTTATTTCTTAGGAAACAAAACACTGAAGTCATCACAGAATTATTTGTTTTCAAGAAAATTGAAATAATATAAAATGGTAGTGTTCTGTAAAATTTTGCATTATGTGTGAAATACCTGCACTAAAATTTAGAAAAATGGAAAATGGATGACAGTGAATGAGTATGAATACAGGAATTCTGATGGTAATATGGGGGGTAGTGGTTAAGAACAAGGTTAGTAGTACCAAAGCAAAGGCATTTTCCTTCTAGATTTTACTTGCAAAGTGAAGCCACCTCTGTGGAGTCCCTCACCTCAGAGCCAGTCACAGCACTCACCAGATTAGCTTCTGCACGAGTTAGTGGACGATAGACATAAGAATGATTCACCCTGGATAGAACCAATAACTAAAATGAAAGATATTTGCTAAATAAGATGATTTTCATCTAGAAATAGTTACTGTTGAAATATTTTCTCACTATAATTAGGAATGTGCCTATGGTGGTCCCTCATACTTCAGAAAAAGATAATCTCTGTCTAGGGGGATTCATGCTTTCTTTCTCACACACCCTGCCCTTTTATTTTTAGTTGACAGTAATAATTGCACATATTTATGGGATACAGAATGATATTTCAATACATGTATACAATGTATAATGATCAAATTGGTGTAATTGGTATAACCATCACCTCAAACATTTATCATTTCTTTGTGTTGTGAACACTCAGAATCCTCTCTTCTAGCTCTCTGAAAGTATATAGTAAATTATAGTCAACCATATTCATCCTACAGTGCTGCAAAACACCAGACTTCATTCCTCCTATCTGGCAACATTTTTTTTTTTTTTTTTGAAAGAGAGTCTAGCCATCACCCAGGCTGGAGTGCAGTGGCGCCATCTCAGCTCACTGCAACCTCTGCCTCCTGGGTTCAAGTAATGCTCACGCCTCAGCCTCCCAAGTAGCTGGTACTACGGGCATGCACCACCACACCTGGCTAATTTTTGTATTTTTTTAAGGTAGAGACAGGGTTTCATCATATTGGCCAGGCTAGTCTCGAACTCCTGACCTGAAGTGATCTGCCCACCTCGGCCTCCCAAAGTACTGGGATTACAGGCATGAGCCACCATGCCCGGTCCTAGCATAATTCTGTATCTGCTAACCAGCCTCTCTATCCTACCCTCTCGGCTACCCTTCCCAGTCTAATACCCACAGTTCTACTCTCTACTTCCATGAACTTCAAAAGCTTTTTGAGTCCCCACGTATGAGTGACAATATGTAATATTTATCTTTCTGTGCCTGACTTATTTTGCTGAACATAATGTCCCCAGGCTTATTTGTGTTGCTGTGAATGGCAGGATATCATTCTTTTTTATGGATGAATAGTATTCCAGTGTATGTTTATGCCACATTTTTTATGCATTCATTTGTTGATGAATATTTAGGTTGATGTCATATCTTCACTATTGTGAATAGTGCTACAGTAAACATGGGGGTGCAGGTATCCCTTTGATATACAGCTTTTCTTTCCTTTGGTTACATACCTATTATTGGAGTTGCTGGATTGTATAGTAGTTCTACATTTAGTTTTTTCAGTAACGCCTATACTGTCTTCCATAATGACTGTACTACTTGACATTTCCACCAATAGTTACATACATCTCCACAGTTTCACCAGCATTTGTTATTTTTGTCTTTTTTTTTTTTTTTTTTTTTTTTTAATAAAATTGCCATTGTAACTGGGCAGGGATGATACCTCATTGTGGTTTTGATTTGCATTTCCTTGATGATTAGTGACATAGAGCATTGCTTCCTATGTTTGCTTACTATTTATATGGTGGTTGTGGTGGTGGTGGTGTTGTTTTAGACAGGGTCTTACTCTGACCCAGGCTGGAGTGCAGTGGTACGATGTTCGTCGTTCACTTCAGCCTCAACCTCCTGGGCTCAAGCAATCCTCCCACCTCAGCTTCCTGAGTAGCAGGTGTGCACCACCACTCCTGGCTCCTGTTTTTGTATTTTTTGTAGAGATAGGGTTTCACACATGTTGCCTAGGGTGGTCTCAAACTTCTGGACTCAAGTGATCCAACGGCCTCAGCCTCCTAAAGTGCTGGACTCACAGTCATGAGCTACCATGCCCATCTGTGTGTCTTCTTTTTGAGAAATGTCTATTTAATTCTTTTGTCCTCTTTTTAATTTGATTATTTCATTTTCTTGCTGTTGAGTTGTTTGAATTCCTTGGATATTCTGGATATTAGTTCTTTATAAGATGAATAGTTTGTAAATATTTGCTCCCGTTCTACAGGTTGTCTTTTCACTCTTGATTGTTTCCTTTGATAGTGTAGACACTTTTTCAGTTTGATATAGTCCCATTTGTCTACTTTTGTTTTTGTTGCCTGTGTGTTTGAAGTCTTAGCTATGAAACCTTTGCCTAGACCAATGTCTTGAAGCATTTGTTCTATGTTTCATTATAGTAAAGTTAAACAATAAAAGAAGAAGAAAGGAACAAAGAATATACAAAGTAATTAGAAAATAATTAACAAAATGACAAGGAGTAAGTCCTCATCTATCAATAATAGCCTTAAATGTAAATGGTTTAAATTCCCCAATTAAAACATATGGACTGGCTGAATGGATTTTAAAAGAAAAAAAAAAAAAGACACAACTATATACTGCCCACAAAAAACTCACTTCACCTGTAAAGGCACACTTTACAGTCTACTGAAAGTGAGGGATGGAAAAAAAATATCCCACACAAATGGAAATCAAAAGTGTGCAAATTAGCTATATTTATTTTAGGCAAAATAGACTTTAAGGCAAAAAAAAAAAACACAAAAAGAGACAAAGAAGGTCATTACATAATGATAAAGGGATCAGTTCAGCAAGAGGATATAACAATTGTAAATATATATACATCTAACACCAGAGCACCTAGATATATGAAGCAAATATTATTAGAGCTAAATAGGTAGACCTAGTAGAATAATAGTTGCAGACTTCTTCAGCATTGGACAGATGGATTATCTAGAAAGAAAATCAACAAAGAAACGTCAGACTTAATCTGCACTATAGACCCAACCGGCATAACAGACATTTACAAAACATTTCATCCTATCCCTTTGTTAAGACAGAGGAACAGAATGTGCATTTGGACCATTTAATAGCAGTTTTGGCTCATTAAGGTACGAATCCAAAAAGAGGAACATATTAACTAAACTGTGTCGAGCCCATCAAAATGGTTAGCTGATCTGTCAATAAATCATTCCTACTGACTCTGACTTTTACAATAGTAAAATAATATATATAATTTTTTATATGTTTTAAAAACATAAAAAGAAAGTAAGTTGGGTTTCTTGAAATTCTGCCTTTCCTAGAATTTAAATCACTTTCTCAGCATTATTGAGATAGACACAGTGTTTTCATATCCTCTGTTTCAATGATGGCATGAATAAAGTGGATATACCACAATGAAGCATTCTTCTATAAGAGACACTTAAGCATTATCTCCAGTTTGTCTCTATTATGAATATTCTTTGGCAGACATCTTTGTTTTCCTGAATGTTAGAGTTTATTTCCTCAGAATAGCTTTCCTGAAATGAAATTACTAGAGCAAATTGTATGAATATTTTAAAGCCCCTATTTTCAGCATATTTCTAAATAGCTTTGCAAAAGGTTATTTATTAATTTATCTTACGCCAGCAAAATATATGAAAACTATAGTATTACCCCAGGCTTAACAAGCTGCAGCATTACTTTTCTTTGTGTTTATTTTATTCCTAGCAAGCTTGGCAAATTTTGCTACTATTCATTTGCAGTTTTAGTGTGTGTATTTGGTTCTTAATTTTTTGTTTGTTTGTTTTCTCATCAATTGGCTTATTTTTCCCAGCTCCCATCTCATCTGCTTTCCTCACCTTTATTCCTTTGTACAGGCTCACATGATTCATTCAGCTACTGGGTGGATGAAAAGTCCCCAGTGGGGCCTGACCAAACCCAAGCTATCAAACGCCTCGCCAGGATCTCCTTGGTGAAGAAGCTAATGAAGAAGTGGTCTATGACTCAGAACCTGACATTTCGGGAACAGCTGGAAGCTGGGATCCGCTACTTTGACCTGCGTGTGTCTTCCAAACCAGGGGATGCCGACCAGGAGATCTACTTCATCCATGGGCTTTTTGGCATCAAGGTCTGGGATGGGCTGATGGAAATTGACTCGTTTCTTACACAGCACCCCCAAGAGATTATCTTCCTGGATTTCAACCACTTCTATGCCATGGATGAGACCCATCACAAATGCCTGGTTCTCCGGATCCAGGAGGCCTTTGGAAACAAGCTATGCCCAGCCTGCAGTGTGGAAAGTTTGACGCTGCGAACTCTGTGGGAGAAGAACTGCCAGGTAGGAGGGAAGGAGAGATAAGCTTCCAAGGACAAGAACTTACCTCTTCCAGCTTTTCCCGAATTGCCGTCTGTAAAATCACTCAATCCAGGGCTCTTAGGCTGGAGAGTGGATTGTTTGGAACATTAAACATACACAAACTAGTTCCTGGGCTCTAGGATAGGTTCAAGGGCTAGGGCTAACCCCTGCCAAATACCTAAGGCTTGTCCAGCAAACTGTTTGCCATCTAATTGACTTTTAGTGGCCTGGCCAGAGCCAACCAAGGCAAAGTTGCAAAATTGGGCCAGTAGGTCATTCCCGTTCTCTATTTCCTGAGGTCCATTTTTACCCTTCTAGTTTCCCTCAGGGATAGTCTGTTCCATCTTGCCTTCAACTCAGTGTCAGATAATCCCGGCCAAGGTATTGACTGATTAGGAAAAGTATTAGCTGACTGAAACATAGTGATTCATCTCAGGAGTGTTAATATTATAAAAGTATTTGGGTCTTAGAGGGAGAGAGAGTTAAGGAAGGAAGAGCCTGTTGAAGGGGCTCCAGCCCAGGAGAGCATTCCGTAGTCTGCTTAAGTTGAGAAGAGCCTCCCAGCCTAGGACCATGAGGGACATGCTCAGGAAGAGGAATGTGGGCCTCAGATGTATTCCATTCTGATCCCAAAGGATGACAGTAGGAGAAAAGAGCTTCAGGAAAGTGTTTAATTTACACTCTCTTAAAAAAAAAAAAAAAAAAGATGTATCTCTCATTTAAAGTTACTCACTTGCTCAGCAGATGCATTAACCAAAACATCTTTAAGAGGCAGATATTTTTTAACTCAAGGAGGAGCTTTTGATTAAAAATAGTTTAAAGGTTATTCGCTTGAAAATATTTATTAAACACCAGGTATGTGCCAAGTAACCTCTAAGGACTAGGGATAAATTAGTAAATAAAACAGACAAAGATACCTTGCCCTAATGGAGCTATCATTCTGGTGGAGGGAGACAGATCATAGATAACAGAGATAATAAACATACATATATGTGTGTGTATATGTCTTTGTGTCACGTATATACATATATGTATATTCTCAGACACACATATATACATATATGTATATTTATTCTCTCTCTCCATATGTGTGTGTATACACACACACACACACACGTTAAGTGTTAGAAAGTGATAAGAGCTATGGAAAACGAAAAGGTCAAGCATGGTAAGAGGGAACCAGGATTCTGTGGGTTGGAGGATTGGTTGAAATGTTTAAAAGGTTGATCAGGAGAACCTTCATTGAAAAAAAATGACATTTGAAGGGGTTAATCACATGCATATTTGGGGGCAGAAGAAGCAGCCAGTGCAGAGGCCCAAAAGCAGGAGTGTCCCTGCCATCTTTGAGGAAAAGGAGCATGCGGTGTGGCTGGAGAGCAGGTGATGACAGAGCAGTGAGAGGAGGTCAAAGAGGTGACTGGTGGTCATGTGAGCCTAGAAGGCCCTGTGAAGACCCTTGCCTTCACTCACTCTAAGCGAGGAGAGTTCTGGCACAGGATGTTGTGGCCTGATTTAGGTCTTAATCAGATCTCTCAGGTTGCAGTGCTAGGAAGAGGCCAAGGCAGGGGGATCCGGCAGAAGTAAGGAACCCAGTGAGACTGTTAGTGGCAAGTGGTCAGATTTTGCATCTGTCAGAAGATAGAGGCGACGGGGTTTCCTAATGGACGCAATTTGAGGTATGAAAGAACGTGAGGATTCACGGATGATTCCCAGGCTTGGCCTGAATAACTGGAACTACCAAGTTGTTTTTGCACACCCTGAGAAGTTCTAAATGTCTTTGACACCATAGAGGCTTCACGAGTTCACTCTTAGTATCTGCTAAAATCTATCTAAACCAGTTTCTCCACTAAGACTTTTGTAAGTGATATTTTGCTAAATATTTATCACACATCTATCCCATAAGAGTAAGTTTATATCTGTTCATGTCTAACTTGGAGAGACGTTTTTCCCAGTGGAATTTCTCTCTTACAATATGAGATAATAGTAACAACAACTAACGTTTATTGGACCTTTACAATGAGCTAGGTACATGGATTAACTCATTTGATCTTCTCAGTGACACCATGAGATGGGTACTTTGTTATTGTCTCCATTTTACAGATGAGGAAACTGAGGTATGGAGACACTAAGTAACTCGCCCAAGAAAAAAATGGGCAAATTTAAAAATCCTGGTTAGTGAGAACCAGGATCCAGTCACATTCTTTCTGGCTTTCCAGAGTTCCTACAGCTTCTCATGCTCCCCGAGGGGTATTTAGGCACATTGGTGTTTTTCAGAACTGGTGTTGTATATTAGGCTAATGAAATACATGGCTTTTATTAATGAGCTGCTATTATCAGAAGATCTCAGAGAATTAGCAGAATGGGAGAAAGGGATGGAGAGCTTTGGAATTTGGGGATTCTGTAAGGTTAAATGTGAGTACAGATATAATTTTATACACGGCCAGGATTGAGAAGGGTTGACATATTGCATAGTAAACTGCTTACAAATCTGCAGGAGTAACGGGTATCTTCAGGAATAAAGAATAGTGCAGGCAGTGAATTTCTAACAGTAGAGTGATGATCTATCATAGTTTTTTAAGCAGTTTTTTAACCGTATTATACAACTACAAATACTTCTAAAGTGATGAAGGAAAGACACTGTGATGATATCTCAGAAAAAAGGGAGAGCATCATCAGTTTAAATCTTAAGATCCCCCTGTGCTCCTTTCTTTCCCTTGTTATTCCTGCCACATCTCTTCTTAAAAGCGAAACAGGCCGGGCGTGGTGGCTCATGCCTATAATCCCAACACTTTAGGAGGCCAAGGCGGATCATCTGAGGTCAGGAGTTCAAAAGCAGCCTGGCCAACATGGTGAAACCCCATCTCTACTAAAAATACAAAAATTAGCTGGGCATGGTGGCATGCGCCTGTAATCCCAGCTACTCAGGAAGCTGAGACAAGATAATGGCTTGAACCCAGGAGGCAGATGTTTCAGGGAGCTGAGATCATGCCATTGCACTCCAGCCTGGCCGACCAGAGTGAAACTCCGGCTCAAAAAAGAAAAAAAAAAAAAGCTAAACAAAGAGATTTCAAACAGAGGCACCAGTCATCCCTGCTACTGCCAGGGCAGAGTTAAACTTTAAATATTCTTCATGTAATGAGCTGCCTCACATGTAACCCCCTGCATATTTTATTACTACAATTTAGTAGAAAGAAGTATGCTACCATTCAGTCAAATTTCATTTACTTAACATGCAATTACATCATAGGTATATATTTATTTGTACATTAGTGGCTATGGGTTTTGAGGGTACAATGAGTTGGAAGATTTAATCTACATCTTGGAAGTATTTAGGATCTTAATGAAATGGTAAGAGTACATAACACTAGAGAATACAAAACAACTGATAGACAATTGCACGATAAAAGTGCCTCAAATGTTCTGTACTATATGAAGAAGGGGATTTTGTAATAAATCAGTTGAAAAGTAGAACGTAGCATTAAGTCTGTATCCCAGAGGCTCCAAGTAAAAGAATGACCAAAATAAGAGGAGGTTCGTCAAGGAATCATTCTTGAAGGAAATGAGATTTTTAATCTGAGTCTCAAGAGAAAAACTGAACATGAACCACTGAGCTAGAGGGGAGAGTATTTCAGAGAAAAACACAGCAGGCAGAGTTGGGGGCGGGGGGCAGGTGTGAAACACAGGCCCTGAGTGAGAGTCACCTGTAGAGTGAGAGTTGGTTTGCAAGGCCAGCCTCCCCCTGTAAACAGAAATTCTCCCTGTAACCTTTAGAGTCAGATTGCTCAAGAAGGCTCTTGGAGAAAGGCATAAAGACCCTTTTGGATAATTTGTGCTTTATGCACTTTTTCCAAGGCAGAGTAAAGAATGGCACAGTCCTCTCGTTCCCTGACAGGCAGCCCAGGGGCAGGCAGCAGGCACAGGGCATGTCTAGCAGGTCCTGTCACAGGACCGCACCACCTCCCACCTCTCCCACGTCCACTGCACAGGACGGCTTTCCTCACAGCCCCCAGCCTTACCACCTGGCCAATTACACCGCTACAAGGAAATCCTCCCCTTCCCCCAGGCAATCTGCTTATCATGAGCCTGTGATTAACCTCATTAACACACTGCGTTTACCACAGACGTCATTAGCAGTCAGACATGACTCAAAACCATTAAAAACAACAAGAACAGCCATTACCCAGTTCAGTGCAACCAGCCTGGTGCACCCCAGCTCTGGGCCTCGGGGAGCAGTTAGTCAGGCACCTTAGTCACGAGCTAAATGCACACCGGAAATGAGGCTGACATCCAGACCTCTTGTTCTCGGGTGCCTGGAGGATTACCCTCTGTGGCCAGCTATCCGGGGATGGCAGTCCAGGCCTCGTGAGCATGTGCAGGGCATTCCTCCAGGAAAAGATCACTGGTGCCTGGGACAGGGAAAAATATATTCCTTTAGAAACCTTCACAGCAGAGCTCTGAATTGGGACGATCAAAATAGCAGTTTCCTATCCCACAGCTGCCTCCCAGAAACTAATTAATGCTGTGGATGTAGCTTGCTAATTATTTTCAACATCACCACCATCCTGAGCGGTCTCTGTGGAGACCAGTTGCCTCTGCAAAGTCTCCCCTGACTCAAGTGGCACGCTCCCCACTCTCCTGGGAAGGGCAGTTCCAGGCAGGGCCAGCACACACGATCGAAAGTCTGTTTTCCCACAAATTAGTTCAGTTTTTTCTTTCAACTCCAAAAGCTGTCAATTTTGTAGTTACAGGAGACATAACTTCTAGACAGCACTTGCTGCTCGGTCTGAGAGTTCTCAGCCTGAGGTCCAAAGCTTTCCCGGGGGATATGAGGGTAGAATTTAAGAAGTCTTTAAATTTGGATGGGAAACAAAGTACGTATTCATTTTTACTAAAATTGAACTGAAAGTTAGTATACCCATTGATTATGAGGGCAGGCGGTGACCCACAGCAATCTTCGCCCTGCCTGATATTTATCTCCCTAGATGCGTCCGTCTCACATTTCGGTTATCGCAGGTATCCGAGATACCACTTATGCTCATCACTAACTCAGTTACTGGACTTATTAGACTTATACAACAAAATATGTCTACTGAATGCATTTATCATGCAGCACATACATTAATTTATTACAAACTTACTTAATATATTGATTGCTATATTTCCATATCATAGATTTTCTTTGTAATCCTGTATATTTTATGCATTCATTTAAAATGTGATTCTGAGAAGGGGGCCCATGATTTTAGTATACTTCCAAAGGCATTTATGCTAAAAAAAAGTTAAGAATTTTTGAGTCAGACATGTGGCAAGTGCTCTGTAAATCTTCGCTGATTTCCTAAAAATATATATTAATATAAACAGTTCTTGACTTTCCACATGATTATATTTTCTTGCCTTTTTCCTAGCAATCCATGTAAAATGAAGGAGTTAACATTCAGCATTTTTATGGATTGCTCTCCTTTTTGTGTTTTGAATATTTCAGGTTCTTATTTTCTACCACTGTCCCTTCTACAAGCAGTATCCCTTTCTGTGGCCAGGAAAGAAGATTCCAGCGCCCTGGGCAAACACCACAAGTGTGCGCAAACTAATCCTCTTCTTGGAGACCACTCTGAGTGAGCGGGCCCCACGGGGCTCCTTCCACGTCTCCCAAGCGATCCTCACCCCCAGAGTGAAGACCATCGCCCGGGGCTTGGTTGGGGGCCTCAAGAACACGCTGGTTCATAGGTAAGAATTTGCTTCCACCCTACAAGGAAAGCTTTTTAAAAAACATTTATCTTGATCCTATTCTGAGTAAATAGCAACAAAGTCATGTAGTCTGAGGATTTAGAAAAACAACAAAACAAGCAAAATCTTTATATTTGAGAAAACCATGCAGTTGAGGTGGATTGTATTAACAAAGGATCTCTAAACACTTTGTTCATAAGTACACATCATACCATAAATACTGTACTCTCTAAATTTTGCTATAAGGCAAAGCACAGTGAGCCAACACCACATCTGTTCATTACTGGCACCTGGCCACATGTGGTCCTGCCTATGCCTAGCAGCTGGCCCAGGCACTCATTTAAGAAGCATTAAATGTAGACCGCTGTCCTAGGTGCTAAGGATTCAGAGCTGGCCCTTCAAGAATTTGTTCTCCTTTCCTTGGTGACCATAAGTCACTGAAGAAGCAGCTTAGGATGCCACCCACCATGCCCATGCTGTAGCTTCAAATACTTCCTCAGGGCAGAATGGAGCCTGGCTGTACAATTAGGTAGGAGAAGCTTCAGGAATTTTGTATCAGATGGTGTTCCTTATCCTGGACACCAATGAATGATACATGTGCTCCAGAAAAAGGGTGGTTTATTTGTATGCATGTGTGTGTGTGTGTGTGTGCACATATATGTGAGTATGTGTATGTGTGTGTCTATGTACCTGTACATGTATATGTGGATATGTATAAATATAAAAGGAATGTTATAAATACATTTGGATAACAGGGAATCCCTTGCAATCCAAGCTGAGGAAGCTAATAGGTTTGGGTAGCAAAAGATATTTACAAGAATCAGTTTGGTCCCTGAGTTTCAGGTTGATGAACAGAGTTCAGATAATGGAAGATTCATCCAAAAACATGTTTCTGTTTATTTGGTCCAGAGTTTAGGTAACATGAGTTCAGGTAACAGCAGTTCACCTAGCAGGAGTTTAGAGAGCAGGACTGGATTTTTCTTTCTTTGTGAGAGCTCCTGATTATGTCAACCATGGACAAAACCAGAAAGTCTTTTCTGTGTGGCTCTACTAAGTCTTGACTGAATTCGTTATGCTGAACTTGAAAAAGTGAATTTTATAAACCAGTACTTTATCTCTTTGAAAGATCCCGAATTAGAAGCTTTATTGTTTTAATAATATATGTTCGTGTATCCACACTGTTTTCCTCATGCCTCTGGTATATTTGTAGATCAACATTATTTATATATTCAGTCAACAAACATTGAGTACCTAGGAAGAGCTAGGTACAAAGATTCAAGGTGAATAATATACTGTCTGCTGTCAAGAAACTCACAGTCTAGCAGCAGAAACTGGCATGAAAATTTCTATAAAGCAATGTGAAATACCACTGTAAAGAAGTCTGTGCAGACAGCAATACTAATAAGGGAGAGGGAGTATTTAAAAAACTAAAGATAAGTTATATCTGTACACCATATTCTGATTATCAAATGCCTTTTTGCAGATGATTTCATTTGATTCTTAAGTCAGCCTCTAGGATGGCACATTGTCTACAGCATATTATCATCCCCTCTTTAGATGGGATTCAGGGAGCTTAAGTGACCCCAATCCATACAGCTAGTAAAAGTCAAGAATGCCTCTCAGACTCTGGCCTTCTGACCGTCAGACCACTGCCCTTTTCAGCGTTGGACACTGACTTGGATACTGCATATTTTCCTGCTTATTCTTTTCTGCTCCACAGGTCTGAAGTTGTCTTATTAGTACCTGAATCTGAATCTGGTAATATCTCACAGGTTACAACTGGTAACCCACAATGTCACAAAGCTTTTTATACTGGTACATTCCTAAAACTCTAATCTGGCTGCAAGTGACACACTGGCTCTTTCCTTTATGATGAGAGATAATGATGCTGGCATGCGCCCAAAGCCAAGGGATCCTACTACGCCAGAGCCCTTGCACTGCTGGTAGCAGCAAGCCGATGTCCCCAGGCTTGGAAAGATACTTTCTTTGGCATCTCGCCCCCTGCCGGCCGTAAGAATATTACAAGTATGCATCATGCATTCCTAGCCCTGCATATCAACTGAAGGGGGAAATACAGCTCTGGTTGAGTTTGTTCCAAAAGGCCGGTGCAGAGTGTGGCTGTCATTTCCTCTGGGCTGTTGAACAAACATAGGACCTTCCCCTGTGTACCAGTACCCAGAGGGTCTGTCCTAACAACTGGTCGCTGGCACTGGTGGTCAGCTGAAACCAAGAAGAAAAAGACAGGGTATGTTTTCTTACAAATGTAGAGGTGGTTTCTCAGCAGGGATTTAACCCCCTAACTCTTCGATAAACTTTGGAGCTAAGATCTTGTTCATTTTGGTTCAACACCATAGAAGGAAGCCAAAGAAATACAGCCATCTGACTTAATTTCCATGGTGGTTTCTTCCAGACTTATAGAAACCTGAAATTCAGGTTCATGGCACTCCCACTGAAATCAAATGAAAATGCTTTGCCTCAGCCTGAGGACAGAGCATCCATGAACTCCAGAAGGGAACATGGACTGAAATCAGAAGGCCTGAGAGTGCAGCCTGACATGCTCCCTGTTCCAGGGTGCGTTGTTTTGTGCCCCGTCCCATCCCCGCCATCCCCAAGTTCACATATTGAAGTCTCAACTCCCGGTTACCTCAGAATGTGGCTACCTTTGCAGATGTGGTCTTTAAAGAGGTAATTAAGTCAAAGGGAGGATGTTAGGGTGAGCCCTAATCCATTCTAGCTGGTATCCTTAAAAGAAAAGGAAATTTAGACACACAAAGAGACACCACAGATGTGTGTTCACAGAGGAAAGGCCATGTGAGAATGCAATTAAGAAGGCGGCCGTCTGCAAGCCAAGGACAGAGGCATCAGGAGAAACAAAATCTGACGACACTTTGATCTTGGATGTCCAACTTCTAAAACAAGAGAAAATACATTTCTGTCTTTTAAGCCAACCAGTATGTTTTATTTTGCTATGGTAGCCCTAGCAAACCAATGCAGTCCCTGAGCAACAGGGTGGCCTTGGACAAGTTTTCTGAGGTCTCTGAGCTGTGATTTTCTCACCAGTTAAACAGGATTAATAATACCTCATCAGATTGTAGCCTTAACATGAAAATGCCAGCCACAGTGGCTGGCACAAAACAGACATGCCATTCCTATTTGTAAAGATACTCAGGAACACCATGGACCACCCTGGTTCCCAGCTGGGCCCCAAGGTCAAAGGGAAGTTTTTAACCTCCTGCTCTGCCATCCATGGGAACTGTTGCCTCACAGGCCTGTCAGCACTGTCAGGTTCAACCTTTTGCACAGATCCCTTGTCCTGATAAATACCAAGAGTTGAGAAAATAAAGTAGCTCTTCTTCACAGTGGGTTCTGCATTTCCCCTTCTTTGTACTTAATCCTGATTATTTGATCCTTGCCTTGGAGAAGGTTGACACATGCTACCCGAAGCTGACACGGAGCTCTTTGTCACCGGAAACCACAGGTACATACATACCTTTCACCACATTTCTCTGCTCAGGCTCCAGGAATCCTCCAATGTGAGGAGGCTCTGGCTGCAGTGGCTGGAGTTGCCCCAAGCCTTCAAGGCTCATCTCCCGGTGAGGACCAGCAGAGGGCGCCTGCACCTCATACTTCAACACTGACTCAGGTTTTTAAAATGAAGTCTTGAATCTATCAGGCCTGATCAGTACTACTGTGTCATTGGTGTGGGTCATTGGTCTATCTTTAAGGAAGTCTGTATTTGCAGCTTCTCATTTCCAAACCACAACATGTTGTCACCTAAGCAGTAGGATGTGACCTCTTTAAGGTGTAGTTTCTTACCCCCAGCCAGCAAATATTTCTACTTCACTCTTCCAGTTATGATTCCTTACCCCCTCCCTTTTTTTTTTTTTTTTTACCACACTTACCATATCACAGGAACTCTTCTAAACACTTTACATGTATTATTTTGTTTAATTCCCCAAAAATCTGTATGAAGCATTATTATCTCCATTTTACAGAGGGAGAGGCAGAGGGACCACCAACTTCAGTAAGCTAAAGTCATACTGAGATGATTAAGTCTTCAGGAGTCCCCGTTCAAAATGGAAGTACCCCTGGGAGGGTGGTCTATTAAGTAATAATCAGCTATTAATATAAAAATATAGGCCAGGCACAGTGGCTCCCGCCTGTAATCCCAGCACTTTGGGAGGCCAAAGCGGGCGGATCACGAGGTCAGGAGATCGAGACCATCCTGGCTAACACGGTGTACCCTAACTCTACTAAAAATATAAAAAATTAGCTGGGCGTGGTGGCGGGCACCTGTGGTCCCAGCTACTTGGGAGGCTGAGGCAGGAGAATGGCGGGAACCCGGGAGGCGGAGCTTGCAGTGAGCCGAGATGCCGCCACCCTCCAGCCTGGGCGACTGAGCGAGACTCTGTCTCAAAAAAAAAAAAAAAGATAGATAGATAGATGGATTTATGATACGTGTTTTAGCCCGTGGCTGGTTGTAGAGTCCACTGAGAGAGGGAGGAGACCCAGGACTGATTATAGTTGTTACGGTAGAAGAAAAAGAAAGCGGAGAAGGACAAAATGCTACCAAGGTCTGAACAGGGCTGTCTGGAAAACTGGGGAGTCAAGATATGTGCTGATGAAAGAAGGGCAGGCAGCGTCGAGGGAGAGAAGGAAGAGAGGATGACAGTCAAAGAGAGACGTACCCAAAGAAGAGAAAGTGGCCAATTAAGATAATTAACTTTACTTATTCTCATTTTTGACCTAGACCAGATCTTCCTAAAAAATCTCTAATTCCTTAACCAAAACTTGAGCCCTAGTTTTTTTCTGTCTTCCTTAAAGCATTCTCAGCCTACTGAGTATGTATTGAGCTGTTTTTACTATGATGTCAACTGTGAGTACACTTTATTGCTTTCTTCTCTACGCTGCCTGTGGTAGTTTACACTTTCTACTAATGCAGAAATGATCACACTGAATTGTCATTATTCATTTATGTCACTAAACAATTGGCTGTTACC